AACAAAGCGAAACTTGAATAATGGGGTGCTGTTGTATGTCTGTCAGTCACAATTCACTTTGGGAAGCAGTGTTGAGGCTGGCAAGTGGCATGGTAATTAAGGGTGCTGGACTCCCACATGGCTGACCACGGTTCGAGTCCTGGACCTGGTGGCTTGCTGTCTCACTTTCTCTCTCTCTCTCTCACTTGCTGGTCAAATTAAAATAAGTAAATAAATAAAATTAATCAACTAATCTTTTTTTTTTTTTTTCTGGAGAGTGTTTTGCTATAGGGCACGTGCACACACCAGAAAGACAGAGAGAGACAGAGAGACAGCGAGAAATCACCCCCTGGGCTGGATGCACACACATGCACACGCACCCGGTGTGAGTTTAAGCCACCGGGTCCGGGACTCGAAGTGCGGTCGACTACATGGGAGTCCAGCGACATAGCCATTACACCAACTGCTGGTCACAATCAAATAATTCTTTAAAAAAAAATTCACTTTGGGAAGTGGAATCATTGAATATTCATGCTTGGGAATTAGACCTTTTATAACAGTGGAAGGAGCTGGGAGAGAACTCGAGGTGCAAACACCAGCCCTCCCGACGCTGTGGTCGCAGGGAATCTGAGAAGCTAGTCTAGACCCCTGGTCATACTCGGGGGAACCCCAGAGGGGCTTTGGGGAAGCATTGCCTCTGGAGGCTTCTGCAGCGTCAGGAAGAGGAGCTGGTTGTGGAACAGAGCCTAGGGGGAAGGCCAGGAGGAGCTGAACCTTGCCAGGGACCCTGGCTGTTGGTCCTGCACCTCCCCAGGAGCAATGGCGCTGTTTTCTGCTCACCTTCCTTGTCTCACCCAAAGTCTTCTGCTCAACCCTCACCCAGAACCGTCCCACAAAGGGGACTGAGGAGAACAGGCCCCAGGCTACTTCTCAGGCCAACACAGGCAGCCCAGCACGAGGGTGTGAGGGACAGTCTCTTGAGTACGGGTGAAATGGAACTTCCGGTGTGAGAAGGGACCGGACCACAACTCTCACCTGCTCTTGGGTCAGAAGCCTGTGTAGCTCATGCCATTCCTCGTGTCCCTAAGCCCCGTCATTCTTCTACCTCTGAAACCATCTTCTTCCTCAACAGCAACAATAAAGTGCTACCGTTCTTTAACACTGCCAAAACAGGGCACAGGCAGATCTCGAGCAGATGAAAGCCTGGTAAAGCTGCCGTCGCATTAACCTCTTAGGATAGATGGAGATAACGTATCCCGTGGTAAAAAACAAGAGTAAAACGGTTCTGAGAACTGCGAAACTGTCATCCTTTTTCTAAATGACTTAATCCACCAGAGGGTGGTTTTTCACTAGTGATCTTTTGTCACCATGTGAACACCCAGCTCTTTGCATTTGTGTGTGTGTGTGTTTTGGAGAGGTTTTCGCTATACGGTGCATGAGCTCGCCAGACAGACAGAGAGAGACAGAGAGACAGAAAGCGAGAAATCACCCCCCAGGGGGGATGGCCACACCGCAATCCCTTCTCCTCCATTCTCCTCTCAGGATCTTGGGCACGCACGCATATGAGCCCGGTGTGAGTGTTAAGCCACCGGGTCCGGGATGCGAACCACGGTCAACTACGTGGGAGTCCGGCGACATAGCCATTACGCTAACTGCTGGTCCCCCAGCTCTTTGCATTTTAATAGCACACGGAGTCTACCCTATTAAATAGGGAGTCTACACCCTCACTCTGAGAGTAACTGTAAAAATCATTCAAATACAGCAGTAGTATAGACACCCAACTGGGCAGGCCCTTTTTCTTCCTCTCCCAGCCCCCATATTCATCTTGTGGGGTTGTGTTTTGGGGGACCGTTCCCAGAGTCCTCTGTACTGCATGGCCTTGTCTGACCATGTGACATACACTCATGTCATTATCATCCCCAGTTACTGGCATGAAGATTTGAGTTGAGACCTGTCCAACTAGTAAGACATGATGACAGAAAATACAGGAGTGGGTCAGCAGAAAGCATAGCAGTTATGTCGCAAGACTCCCATATGGCCAACCATGGTTCGAGTCCCAGACTCAGTGGCTTGAAAACCACGCCAGGCACATGTGCATGGTGCCCAAAATTCCAAGAGGAGAATGGAAGAGAAGGGATTGTGGTGTGGCCATCCCCCCTAAGGGGGTGATTTTTCACTTTTCCTCTCACTATCTCTGGCTCTCTTTCTCTCTGGTGAGCACTTGCGCCCTAAGGCGAAAATCTCTTTTAAAAAAAGAAAAAGAAAAGAAAGAAAATTCAGAAGAAGCTAGAATAAAGGGTACAGTTGGAGGCTGAAAAATACTCAAAGGGAAGTGACTAGCCTCTAAGATGAGCAGCTGCAGGTTTGCCAGGGAGTGTGATGGTGGGCCAGGGCTCAGCAGGTGAAGGGGGTCATCTCTCAGCATATTTGGGCCTATTGGACCACTAGGGCAGTTTCTTCTCTTCCTCCTCCCTTCCTTCCTTCATTCTTTTCTCCCTTCCTCCTCCCTTTATTCTTTTTTTTCCTTCTTCCAGATTTTTCGCTTTTTTCCTTACATAATCTCCCCTCAGTTCTTCCATTGTACTAGAATTTTCCATCCTCTCAGTCGGCTGCTGAGTTCAATCTTATGAGCAAATTCTAGCACATGCTGAGAGGTGTTAGACACACCCGAACAATCTCTGTTCTTTTGTTCTTTTTTTTTTTTTTTTTTGAGAGGTTTTTGCTATAGGACGCATGTGTTCACTGGAAAGACAGAGACAGAAAACAAGAAATCATCCCCCCTCCCCCGGGGAGATGGTCACAGCGCAATCTCTTATCCTCCATTCTCCACTCGGGATCTTGGGCACGCATGCACACACACCCGGCTTGAGTTTAAGCCACCGGGTCTGGGACTCAAACCGCGGTCGACTACATGGGAGTCCAGCGACATAGCCATTACGCCATCTGCTGGTCCCCAATCTCTGTTCTCTAGGTCTTTAGGAGTTTCTCCTCCACTTTCATTTGGTTACAAGAAACAGCCTCCCTACTCTCAGAAACTGTCTGCAATTTATAGGATCACCTCTGCTCTTTGAAGCAAACAGAGTCCACTTCCTCGATCTAAGAGGAGTTGCGAAAAATCATTCCAACACAGCAGTGGGCCGGCTCATAGCCTCCTTGTTAAGGGAGCCAAGCTAGTCCCACATGGCGGACTGTGTTTCGAATCCCGACTCTGGTGGCTTGAAGAACACACCAGGCACATGTGCATCTGTACCCAAAATCCCAGCGTGGGGGAGCGCGCTCTCTCTCTCCCTCCCTCTCTGGCCAAGCACACATGCTCTTCAGCAATAAAAAGAAGAAGAGACAGTCCGAGCAGTAATGTCGACACCTGACAGGGAGCCCTTTCTCTTCCTCTCCCAGCCTCCGCATTCATCCTGGGAAGACCAGCCCCTGGACCTCGGGCTGTAGGCCCTGGTGCTCTGACCTGTGATGAGTGGGTGGGGAGCAGGCGATGTGTCGAGTCTGTAATTGTCTTCGGGCTGTAAAGGTGTCAGGGAGAGGCAGTAGAGGAGACAGGCAGTACCAGGAACCCAGGGTGACGTCCAGAAACCTGGAGAGACTCACGTGCTCCCGCGTCGCCAGCCGTCTGAACCTGTGGGTTACGGATTCGACCAGCCACAGACTGAGAACGTTGGAAAACGGGTCCCCTCTGTACTGGACATGCATGGACTTTGGTTTTCTTCTATTCTTTTTTTTGGAGAGGTTTTCACTATAGGGCGCGTGTGCTCGCCAGACAGACAGAGAGAGACATAGAGACAGAAAGCGAGAAATCACCCCCAAGGGGGATGGTCACGCCGCAATCCCTTCTCCACCATTCTCCTCTCGGGATCTTGGGCACGCATGCACACGTGCCCGGCATGAGTTTTAAGCCACCGGGTCCAGGACGCGAACTGCGGTCGACTACGTGGGAGTCCAGCGACATAGCCATTACGCTAACTGCTGGTTCCCTAGAGTGTAATTACTGACATAGCATCTGCCTTGTGTCGGACATCACGCTCCATCTGGACAGGGTTGCAGGTTTGACGGGAGGCTGCGTGTAGGTGGTGGAAAGTACTGGGTGGTCGGGAAAGCCACGGTGCATTTTCACACAGAGAAACAGGAAGATATGCCATGGCTTCCCGACGCCCTCACACTGCCATTCTACATAAGGCACTTGGGGGGCCAGCAGGTGGCATGGTGGCTAAGGTGCTGGAATTCCCACATGGCTGGCCATGGTTTGAGTCCCGGACCTGGCAGCTTGCTTCCTCACTCTCCCTCTCTCTCTGACTTTCTTTGGCAAAACTCACGTGAAAAATAATAACAATAAATAAATAAATAAATATAAATAAATCTCTTTAAAAATAAAAAAACATAAGGCAATTGGGCATCTACAGATTTTAGCCTCTCCATGGGGGTGCGGCCAGAACCAATCCCCTGCAGATGCCAAGGGGCAACTATGTGAGCGTGGTGGGTGCTGGAGCCAGTCTGAAGGTCCAGACATGCAGTTTCCTGAAGCAGGAGTGGGCGTTTGGGTGACTGCTTGCTTTCGTCCTATCTTCTCTCTGCCCACTTAGCTAATTTTTTTTCTTATTGGGCTTGTGCGCTCATCAGAAAGACAGAGACAGAGAGATAGAAAGCGAGAAATCACCCCCCAGGGGGGATGGCCACACCACAATCCCTTCTCCTCCATTCTCCTCTTGGGATCTTGGGCATGCACGCACACGCGCCAGGTGTAAGTTTCAGCCACCGGGTCCGGGACTCGAACCGCGATCGACTACATGGGAGTACAGCGACATAGCCATTACGCTAACTGCTGGTCCCGCCCACTTAGCTAATTACCTCCAAAGGATGCCAGAACCGAGACTGGCAAAAGCCTGGTTCTCAACCCAACCCTTTTCTGGGGCATTTCTCACCTGTGCTGCCCCGGCTCCCCTGTGTCAGGGATTCCTCATTCCATGGGGCATTTGCTGCAGCCAGGGCTGACGGCTCTCTCTCTCTCTCTCCAGGGTCAGGTGTGGATTAATGGCTTTAACCTTGGTCGCTATTGGCCAGCCCGGGGTCCCCAGGTGACCTTGTTTGTGCCACTGCACATCCTGAAGACCTCGGCCCCGAACGTCATCACGGTGCTGGAACTGGAGCGAGCACCCTGTGGGGACGACGGCCCAGCACTGTGCACTGTGGAGTTTGTGGACAGGCCGGTTATCAACGCAGCTGTGGCCAGAGGTCCTCTGCCTCCAGACCCGTTAGTGAAGACCCACGGCCACCCTGGGCCTAATGGGTGCCCGTGAGCCTCCGGGGGCCTAGCCCACATACCCCACTGATTCCCCTTGTCGAGTCACCATTATTGGAGAGGCCAGTGGAAAAATCCCCCCGGCGGTGTGGACCACCGGGCTGAGGTTCCCTGCAGCCCTGCAGCATCTGATCCCCACCCCTCGGGGCTCACCCTGGATGGGTGAGAGAGGCCAAGGACTCACTCATGCGCAGACGTCACCGCAGAGTTGAAAGGGAAACTTTCAAGGTGTTTCTGATTATTTCAGAAGAATCATGTCTTTTTGTTAAATAAATTTGTACTCGAATGATGTGTTTGCGTTTTAAGGTTGAGCGGGTTTGAAATAGTATGGTCTGACATAAATCATAACCAGACTTGAGTGGGCTGAATAAGCCACTTCACTAACTCGAGGTTCAAAGGCGTGGAAAAAGAGCCTTGGTTTGATCTGGCGGACTGCTGCTCTTCTGAGCCTTAATCCACTTCCCTTTAAATTTCTGTGATACCTACCAGGTAGCCCGTGAATACTCCCGCATGGCTGATCAGGGTTCGAGTCTAGGAGCGTGCAGGCATGAACGCGTGTCAGAAGACAGGCAAACCTGTGTGTGTGTGCTGTGTGGGCAGGGGCATAGTGTCACGGGAAGGGCCTGTCCCGACGTGGGGCAGTGGCTCTCATCTTGCTGAGTCCCGGTCCCCACCATGCACAGTTCTGAGTTCAGCGTCTGTATAATTCGCTTGTTCTCCACAAGGACTCTGAAGGAGGTACTGTCATCTTCCTGATCTGCCAGGTTCCATAGCTGTACCTGCAGAGTCAGGGTTCGAGCCCAGGTAGTCGGGAACACACTGCCTATAGGCATTTTTCTTTTGAAAAAATGTATTTATTTATCTATTTGTTGTGATTTTCAACCACTGGGTTCAGGACTCAAACTGTGGTCAGCCATGTGGGAATCCAGTGCCTTAAATATCACCCCACATGCTGGCCCCAGCCGATAGGGACATTAATTAACATCTGTTGCAGAGGAAAGGTTCAGAATAACAAACCAAACCACTCCTGTGATTGGACCTGGATGATAAATAGTTGGGAAACAGTTTGCTTTTTCTTATCTGTATTTTACATTTTTTACGGCAACTATGTAACTTATTTTTTTTAATTTTTAAATTTTATTCACTACTATCATTATTATTTTTCAGTTTGCTATTGGGCACGTGCACTCCCCAGAGAGACAGAGAGGGAAAGTAAGAAAGCAAGCCGCCAGGTCCTAGACTTGATCCATGATCAGCCATGTGGGAGTCCAGCGCTTTTTTTTTAAGACAGATTTTTGCTATAGGGTGTGTGTGCTTGCTGGAGAGACAGAGAGACAGAAAGCAAGAAATCACCCCCCAGGGACCAGCAGTTAGCGTAATGGCTAAAAACACAGGCGACGA